ACATTTTTTGTTTTCGACATTTTGACACTGGACACAGCAAATTCGTCAATTATTGTTCTCATTAAGGGCGGGTATTATAAAACTATTTTGAGAGTTAACTTAAAGTTAACTACTTGAATTACATACCGGGTGACAATCAAACTACTACCCATGGCGGCATTTCTTAACGGCTCGAGATAGAAATATGCAACTCGGTTTGTTGATAGGGTTGAAAATTGTGAATAATTTTAATATAAAAATAATTGAATGTCTTTTCTGGTTTTATCGGAAATGGCAGTTTTTACGTAAAATACAAACAAATAGGAATTACGACATATTTTTGAGCCACTCTATTTCAAAAACTATCAATTTTTGGCATAGGGTATGTTATGTTAGAAAAAAATTATTTAGAATTGTTCAGAGAGTCCAAAAAAAAGATAATATGGGGGATGTTCCATTTAAATTAACAAAGTCAATGCCATTTCCGGTGAAACCGGAGAAGACATTCAATTGTTTTTACAATAATATTGTTCACAATTTTCAACCCTACCAACAAACCGAGTTACATATTTCTATCTCGAGCCGTTAAGAAATGCCGCCGTGGGTAGTAGTTTCATTGTCACCCGGTATAATTCAAAAAGTTAACTTCAAGTTAACTGTCAAAGCAGTTTTATAATACCCTCCCTAATTCGTTTTCGATTGACAATAGCGAGAGTGAAGAAAATCTATTAGAGAGTTATTGGAACTATTAAATACTGCCACGCAGTATTAAGGATCTACGTTATTTCATTAGTGCATCAGCACTATTTTTCCAAGAAAAAACAGTTATTGGAAGAGTCTAGTAGGTGCTAGAGTATTACCTTATTTTGTATTCATAATTTTGACAGCTGATAGTTATGTTTATAAATTTCAGCCTCAAAAAGTGTTTTATTTTTGTTTGTGATTTTCTGCTGATACCCATTTTTTGATGTTACCCACAGTCAAATGGAAAACTATTATAAAAAATAAATTTTCTAAGTAAAATTACGTCATCGTCGAAAAGCGAAACGTCAAAGTCGTCCAAAATGTCAGAAATTTGAAATAAGGGAAGTTTACTGCCTCGCACTAACCATGCACAAATAAAGACAAGCAGTAACCTTAATAAGGGAATCCTTAATTTCGGAGCCAAATGCGCATGCGTAGATGTCAAAATAAGGCTAATTTGAATACTGCTTGTCCTTATTGCACGTCCAATAACTCTCTATATTATCCCCCATTGCAGAACGATATACGATATTTGTTTTTAATATAAGCCAGAGTACTAAAAGACCTTTCACCCTCGCAATTTGTGATAGGTATGGATAAATACCTATATTCTCAAAATAATGTTAACGGTTGGAAAAACCTGGAAAAGGTCTTTTTCTTCCATCTGTCTCGAAAAAGAATGAACGTTCAAGCCATCATCTTTCAAGTCTCGAATATAAGCACAAAACTGCATGAATTCAGCTGTAAATATAATTGATAGATAATAGATGGCGAAATCGAAATTGTAAAATTATATGCATGATTTCTTCCCCGTGTGAGGTGGTGTTTTGGGGCCCCCCTCATTTCGGGGCCCGGGGCTTTAGCCCCCAAAAGCCCCCCCCCTTAAGCCTAGTACTCATAACTGCGAAATTCGCAATTTTTTGACATTGCTTCGACAAATTGACGTTTTATGCGTGAATTAAACGTCAAATTGTCGAAGCAATGTCAAAAAATTGCGAATTTCGCAGTTATGAGTACTAGGCTTTAATCCGGCCCTGCGGAATTTTCAGGATAAATAAAAGTTGTATGTAATGTAAACAGAATAAGGGATTAGTGGATCAGCGCTGCCACCTCTACCGATTTATCGGTAGATCTACCGATTTTCAAATGAGTCTACCGACCGATCTCCCGATTTTAAGCCATTTTCTCACGATTTTTCTGCAATTTGTTGGTAATGCAACAAATATGTAGATATATATTTTATTTAAAATAAAACATAAAATTGTTTCTCATTCCGCAAGAAAATCTAAAAACTAATGACATCTGACATCGTGTCTCGTGTGTCAAATCACTGATGGTCACTTATCAAAACGCTCAGGAGTGCGTTCAAAGACGGCAATGCTAATGCCAAAACCTACTATTCCCCTTCTACCGGCGATGCCAAATCTGGTGTGAATTTGCTGGAACGCCAAATACCGTTTCTCAATATGCAATCCAAACCACGTGACATTCAATATGGCGTGGCGACCATACATGGACCAAAAAACACAAAAAATATCTAGTTTCTGCCCGACTTAATAGTTAACGTACTTAGTTAACAAATATTTTATTGAATAATCAAAATCGAAGCTGCAAACAAACAAAATAATTGAAATATGCATGAAAACCCATATTCAAAACTAACTTGCCTGGCCGCCACGCCATATTGAATTTGGTCTCATCCAATCAAAATTCGTATAACCATTTCTAGACTCAGTTGAAAGAGCCTCCAAAAGTTACTTTACCGCGGCCGATTTGGAACGTGTAAAGCCAACCGTTTTTGGCACGCTGGAGCCGAACTTGAACGCAATATGCCAATTTTGGCTCGGCTTTAGCCGTTTTTGAACGCAGCCCAGATGTTATGTCTAATTGTGTCATACTCCCCAACTCCCCCACTATCAAATTTTGGGATACTCGAGGATCAAGAACACTTAACTTCTTCTGTGAGAAAAAACTTAAAATCACCTTTTCTACATTTAAAATCGACGAAAAAATTAACTCACTAAACTAGCACAGTCTGAATCTGCATTCATCGCGGGCTGCAGGTGACGTCACCACTATGAGCTGCTGGTACTGACGTCACTCGCAGGCCAGGAATGGGATGGAGAGGGAGCTAGGGGAGTATGACGCAATTGACACATAACATCTGAGCATAAGTGTTTGATTATGCTCGCGAAAAATTGAAATAGGAATCACATTGCACAATAAAATTATGACTAAATTTCTTGACTGGTTTAATATACCTAAGCAAATTGTGGCGGAATGACGTCATATGACGCAACTGCCTAGTGCCTAGCTACCGATTTTTAAACGGAAACTACCGATTATTTCTCCAAGAATCTACCGACTTCATTCCGTCAGAAGTGGCAGCACTGTATAGGATTTTTGTGTCTTTGTTCCCGAGAACTTTAAAATACCATTATTACACAGCCTCACCATTTGAAATACTGTATTGTTAGCGATACAGTATGCTGCGTTGCCAAATTGACGTCAAAGTATTTTATTTTGTTTGGGTTAGATTTTCCTAACAGGTGCGGACAATGTTTATTGTTTATAACGAGTGATGAAAACAGCAGTTTTCAAAATATGTAGGTAATGTTTTCAAATTGCAAAAAATGTTTTTTGACGAAAGTTGTTTATTTTTCAATGGTCAGAAAAAAAGTTTTTTGCAGATGCTAGTTTGTTTGTGCAATGAAAGATTTGGTTTTTGCTGGAATTTTCGACATTTTTATACAACTATTATCAAAATCCAAGAATCGTGAACAGGATTGCTCATCCTAATAAGGCGTACGTTCACCAATTCTTGAGTAGACAAGGTCCTCGAGTTACGTCACCACAGCAGCTAATAGTGATGACGTCACCGCAGACCTCGATGAAGGGCTTGCGATTCAGGTTGTGCTGGTTATTTGAATTTTTCGTCGATTTTAAATGTAGAAAAGGTGATTTAAACAAGATTTCAACATTTAGGAATTGATTTTTTTGACCTATACTATAGTGCTTTGAATTTGAATAATGCATATTACTCCAAGAGTTGAGGTCTGCGGCTGACATGGCAGTTGGCAGACACTTTTAGCTTTCAGCTCAATGAGCAGTCCTACTAGGGTTTAAAAACAGGATACCTACTGCCATCTTCTGGACACCTGAACTGAAGCAAAGATGATCCGTTTATTTCCTACGAATGTGCTGAAAAAAAAACTTTTGGCATGCACAAAGACTAAAGTGTAATCTTTCCGCAGGCCCTTGGGAAAAATTGTTTTCCTAACACTTACAAGAAATGGTATTTCCCGCACTTGTTAGAAAAATAACTATTTTTTTTTTTCGAATTTGATATGATTAAATTTTCCGCCCTGTGGGAGAACCAACGACTGTCCAGTTCCACTCCAACCAAAAGGCAGTGCTTGCTCGTAGAAAAAAATTTTCTTATTTATTTATACAATCAATTTATAAAAGGTTATTATATTCTCTGTAAACTCGAAAGGCAGGGATAAATAAATAAAAAACTGTGGTGGCGTGCCGAGGCGCTGATTCCAGTCCCAACATGAAAATGCCAAAAATTGCAACGTCGCATATAAATTGTTTCGAGGCTACCAAGCTCTTGTGTATAGCGTGGCGTCTGAGGCACGGCACGAGAACTTTCTAAACAAGTCATAATAGGTTTAAATAATAATGTCTAGATAAATAAAAATGATAATAATAATAAGTGTATATAAATAATAATCCAGAAGAACCAATCAGAAAAACGAAGATGAATTTGAAAAGGCCATCCAATCAATAGTAGTGTCTCCAGATCCTAATTTCGATCAGGATAAAAATGTTTTATAAATATCAATCGCTGTTGTTGCTGTGATAATTTTGTTTTTGGTATTAAATGATTTTGTTTCAATGGTTTCTCTTGATTGTAAAATAAATTGACCAAATAATTCAGCATTAATTTTAACTGCCCTGTGTTTTTTTATTTGTTCTGTAATCAACCTCATAAATTTCTCTTCAACTTCTTCAAAAAAATTTCACATTCCTCACAACGTTTGAAAATTAGTTTCGGTAGTTTTGTTGGTATATGCTTTTGATCATCACATTTTTGTATTTGGATGGATTTTAGCTCGGATTTTAGGGTAGGAACTTCAGGGAAAGGGGTTTACAGTGGAGGTGGGTAGTGGTATGATGGCTGTGCTGGAGAGGGGTTTCATGTGGTAGAGGCGGGTATGTGGTCTGATAGCTGTGAAAACACTCTACTAACATTTTTCGTAATTTCTTATTAGGCCTATGCCAGATATAGAGGACCTTATGCAACAGTGGCCTGAAGATTTGGAGCAAAAATACAAAGAAGAAGGTTTTCCAAAACCTCAAGAGAACCAACCTCTATCGGACTACATTGATACAGTTTGCAATTTCCTGCAAATACCTGTTGCAAAAAATAAAATACAATCTTTGCATTTGCTGTTTTGCCTTTATACAGCCGTTAAACAGACTCAACTGTTTCAAAGTCAAGCTGAAGCAAATGTTGTCAAGGAAAAAGGGGAAATTGAAGATAACATGGAGGAAACTGATCAATTAGTTCTTGATTAATAATAATTATTGTTAGGATATTAAATAAAGAGTTGCTTTAGAATAAAGAGAATTTTATTAATACTTTATTAGTTATACATCATTGTGTCCACATTCACAATTATTTCATACATTTTAGGAATGTTATCTATATACAAACTATACCAAATACATACAACACACTTGGAGGGTGGATTTACATCAGGTCTTCTGGATTGAACATGCCCTGCAAGAAAAATAATAGAGCATTTAATTATTTTGATTTTTTTATATGATAGATTATTACCTTGGCCCTTCTCAAAATAGAATCCTTTGAAGAATCATAAGGATGATCCTTGGATGGAATTTCCAAAATAGCTGGAAGTGGGCTGTTGTGGCTGTCGACAACATGTCTGATGATTTCAGCGACGTTTTGGTTGATCAGGATAATGTCGATGTCGTCTCTTTTCAGGAAACGCTTGAAGCAGTCTTCAATTTCACTTACGGCAGTGTCTACGAGGGGAAAAATGGTTTTTAAATTAACTAATACATGGTATTTAAGGGTTCTGCCTTACTTTTGTCCACTACCATGAAATTGGGGTGCCTGTTCTTGTTGATTTCACCTACACCTCCAAGTAAAAATCCTACACAAGTATCCTAAAAAATACACCAGTAACAATAGTTTTTAGATGATAATTTTGTCCCTCACCTCATCTCCAATTACGGATATTAATTTGCCTTTAATTGCACTGTGAAGAGCCATTTTTACTACTAGATAAATTTGATTATTTTTGTAAGTTTGACGAAACTTTGTTGTCACCTGACCTGACAAAAACTTAAAAGTCAGCTGACCACTCTCATTTAACTAGTGGGCGGTGGGTGGGGTGTTTTCCCTGCACCGTTGCCAACTTTTAAGAGGTAAGTTCGGATTGAGCATGGATTGAGTTCGGAATGGTACAAATGGGTACAAATGGCGATTTTCAGCCTGGAATGATTATTTATCGGTAAATACCGTGGTTATTCTTTTGGTTGATAACTTTGACAGCCAAATATGACGTCATAGCCCCCCACCATTCAAAAATCATAACCCAAGGAACTGACCGCTGAAATGATTTGGGTTATAGCAGTGTAGGCTTATGTTTATTATTCTTATTTGTTTTTTTGTTTCAACAATAGTTTTTTGTTCAGGTACAAAAAATGGAGCTGAATCTCTCGTTAGTCTCGTTTATCGAACAGATTTTCTTTGGGGATGATCTAAACCTGGATCTAAACATGGTGAATTGCAGTGAGTGAGTGAATGTATACTTCTTTCATTGTGCCAGGCTACAACGCAACTGCAAAATCACAAAACACCAATACAAATTCCAAAAATAATAACAATAACATCAAAAAGGTGTAACCAAACAGTTAACCCAAGTCCAAAGCTGGGTTATAATCGGTTATGTGGTAAATACCAAAAGCAAATCACCAAATAATAATCATTCCAGGCTGAAAATCGCCTAAAGTGCCGACATTTTTTGCAACATTGACACTGTGGCGTTCGTTAATTGGTAGGAGTAAGTTTGGTGTACACTTTATGCTTGCACTTTAGCTGGGTTCGAGATAGCCGATAGCCGATCCGAGCTGGAGTAGAGTTGGAGTGGCGTTTTCATCACGTGACCAAAGTGCTTCTGGTGTATATTATAGCGATTTCCATTTGTCGAACCAGTGCAAAAAATATGTATATCCTTACATGTTATATTCTTTTAGAAAAAGATGCGGATACATTCAGTGCGCACTGACTGATAGCGTTTTCCATTTGTCCAATCAGGGCAAAAAAAATGTATCTTTGGATCCTTACATGTTACATGCTTTTAGAAAAAGATGCGGATACACTCAGTGCGGCACTGATGACAAATGGAAATCGCCATGACTCTATTGCAATGAACTAAACAAATACACTGGAATGGCGGCTGCACAATAGGGTACTTGCATCAAATTTTTTTATTGCGGATTTCGATAGTCCATGAAAAATAAGTCAACCCGTGTTTTTTCTTTTTCTTGTGAGTCAAAAATTGACGGAGATACAACGCTTTGAAATGTCCTTCCGACGTCATCACTTAGGTATAACGTTGTGAGCTGTGACGTCGCACATGCTCAGTATATCTATATATATAAAACTCAATATTTGTTACAACTTCCGAAATAATCATATTTGGACAAAATAGAAAAACACATCGATTTCCTACAGTTTGCAATAAACAATAATCAATTTAATTTTTCATGCAAGTACCCTATTGTTTCAACGCGAGGGTTTGTGCCAGGAAGGACAACAAACAAGAGGGATTTGCATCTCTCTCTGCACTATGACGGCTAATGAGAACAGCTGTATTAGTCCAGGAGGTGGCGCCAAAAACATGCAAGAGTTTTCGCAAGGCGGATATTTTCAAAATAGGTCGTACTTTAGTGTTAGAATGCTAGTGTACAGTCAGCACTCACAGTTCCGGGACAGCTGGCTCTGGGACGCGGGCAAAGTTGTAATTTTAAGAAGCATCTAAACTGTTTTCTCAAAGCTCAAAATTTATAGAAATTTTGCACATTATCTGTTTGAAGGTCATGGATAACGTATGTAAATCGTCACACGTCTAGTTCGTTGCAAAAAGGGGGTCAGACGTCCTCAAAGTTTTTATTTTATGGCATTTTCTTCAAATATATTTGTCAAATACCTGCAAAAATATATTCTGACAGGACACCACACCGAAGAAAATGCCATAAAATAAAAACTTTGAGGACGTCTGACCCCCTTTTTGCAACGAACTAGACGTCTGACGATTTACATACGTTATCTGTGACCTTCAAACAGATAATGTGCAAAATTTCTATAAATTTTGAGCTTTGAGAAAACAGTTTAGATGCTTCTTAAAATTACAACTTTGCCCGCGTCCCAGAGCCAGCTGTCCCGGAACTGTGAGTGCTGACTGTACACTAGCATTCTAACACTAAAGTACGACCTATTTTGAAAATATCCGCCTTGCGAAAACTCTTGCGTGTTTTTGACGCCAGCTCCCCAACTATATGATGTGTTTGGATCAGAGGTTGTTAGGAAGATGAAGAAGCTCCTTTTCCTTTCAAAGTGAGGTTTTCAATACTTTTTCCTCACACATGGACGCTGGCGCTCTACAACCCCAACTCCGAGCATCACCCAATATCTTTGAGTAGGCCAATGTAATGGCCCAATGTTTAACATCCATGGTATTTGTCAACGACTCATAAAAAACGACGTGTAAGGGCGACCTGGTAACGTCGAGCTGAGTAAATAGAAGCAAGGATAGGATCAGGGGCTTGGTGGTCATTATAACATCTGACCAACGGGAAACGGCGCAAACAGCACGCTAGGCGTGACTGTGCGCACAGTGGGCTGCGCCCCACTGAGTTTTAGTTTAAGTTCCATATGTCCTAGATTTAAATATGTTGTATGTTTTTAGCTAAGTAAGGGGGGCCTAACCCTCCTACCTGAAAATGTATGAACAATGTAATTATTAAAATAAAGAGTTTGAGTTGAGTTGGGTTGAGTTTTTCCTTTTACATCAATCGCAATAAGTGCGAGCGAGACAATAATCCCTCTGTATTGCTGGTTGCATACATCAAAATTTGGCACACTAGAGCCGCTTTCCAGCTGACGCTTTTGAGCACGCAATCGAGCTTTTGCGCGGCAAATGCTACAAGCGCGTGTTCGTGTTCCAGGCGTACTGGGCTTCGAGAGCTGCTAAATTTTGCGTTTCAAACACAGAACACTGTGCTGCACCGTGCTTGAAGCACACAGCTGGAAAGCGGCTTAGAATAAAGCAGTGCGCCCGTTCCAGAGTGTTTGTTTAGTTCAATGCTCTATTGTTATTCTTGTGGTTGTGTGTACATTTCCAGCGCGATGAACGCAGGAGCGGGCGTTTGTGTAGAATAGAACTCAACATTTTGTAGCGAATAAAGCAGAATTAATACAACTTGCAAGTCACTTTTCTTTTATTTTATTTATGTATTTTTATTTTACTGCTAAGCGGATACACAGAATGACACAAAAATCTCTCACAAATGAAAAATCAGCATCGTCCATTATTATTATTCTGTTTCCCATTACCATTTCGTCCATTATTATTCTGAGCACAAGGATCAGGACAAGGGCAAGCGCACGGGCAACAAGCTGGTTGAATAAACATCGGTTGTCCTGGCATTTGCATGTAAATTATTTGCTCCGGTATTCCTGGCAAACAGTAGGGCACATAATCGATGGGATAGCAAATATCGTCAGGCATTTTCTAAGATTTGTTTTACTGGAAATTTTGATTTTTTGCAGCGAAAATTCGATTTGTCGTTTTTTTTTGTCGGATTTTTTTGTAAATATGACGTTGGGTATGACGTTTGTTTTGTAATTTATGGTGGTAATTTGGTGTTGCCATGGAGATTTTGTCTTTTATTTTGAGGATTGCCACCTTGATAGATTTTGTGCTCATTTTTTTTGAAACGAAGTGCGTTCCGCTGGTTCTGCTATTCGAACGAACATATCAAAACAAGAACGAAACCACTGTGTATACGAATTTCGGAATATTTCGGATTCTACACACAAATTTTAGGTTTTGTACAGAATCCTGACGGTAAATTGTACAGTTTTCTGCTGTGTCGGAACAGAGCTAATTTAAAACCTACGCACTGTTTATATCTGGCCCATAAAGAAAATCTATTGTGGAAAAATCGGCACCATTTTTGGATTCATAATAAAAAATTCAAGATCACGACCAAATAGGACTGCTTTATCGAGCTGAATCTGCCATGTCCATGCGATAACTCCCCACAATTGGTGACGTCAGTTGCAGACCTTAACTCATGGCGTAAAATGCATCATCCTAGTTTAGAACACTATAGGCCAAAAAACCAACTCCCGTTAAAATAACTTTTTTGTAATTCAGTTACGAAATGAAATCTTTTTGACATTGATTTAGTTGTCAAAAGTGGTTCATTTTATAGTCTCAAGCCTAGTACTCATAACTGCGAAATTCGCTCTTTTTTGACATTGTTTCAACAATTTGACGTTTTATGCGTGAATCAAACGTCAAATTGTTGAAGCAATGTCAAAAAAAGCGAATTTCGCAGTTATGAGTACTAGGCTTGCCTCATTCTCACTTGCGCGAATTAATGCCTGATTCTCACTTGCGCGAAATTCGCTCTTTTTTGACATTGCTTCGACAATTTGACGTTTGATACACGCTTTAAAACGTTAAATTGTCGAAGCAATGTCAAAAAAAGAGCAAATTTCGCGCAAAAGGAGCAAATAGTGTCTAATAGTTAATTCGGTGTTACGTAACGCAGAGTTAATCCCGTGTTACGTTACAGAAAAATAGACACTTTAAGCAGGTCCTAAATTTCAAACGTATCTGTATCCGCATCGATCTGCACATGCGCAGAATAGATACGGAGGTTTCGTTGAGTTGCGTTGTCCGTATATTAGATTTAAGCAGGTCCTGAATTCCAAACGTATCCGTATCCGCATCGATCTGCGCATGCGCTGAATAGATACGGTGGTGGCGAGGCCCGTAACGATACGCACAACGCAACGCAACGAAACCACCGTATCTATTCAGCGCATGCGCAGATCGATGCGGATACGGATACGTTTGGAATTCAGGATCTGCTTTAAGTGTCTAATACGGACAACGCAACGCAACGAAACCTCCGTATCTATTCTGCGTATGCGCAGATCGATGCGGATACGGATACGTTTGAAATTCAGGACATGCTTAAAGTGTCTAATAACTATTTCCGCGTTACGTAACGCGGAAATAACTATGAGATAAAAAAAATATATACGTGTACCTTCTACGCCTTCGTAGTAATTAACTGTCCAAAAACTGACTTTAAATTCAGAGAATATTTTTCGGCCCGGCTCTCCGTCTATTAAAACAAATGCTGAAATAAGCAGTGTGTTCTAATACAGTATTAAAATGAAATCTCATTTCATCACAGTGTTGGAATAGGATTTAGAGTGCGTTCGTCTCAGTGTTAAAATGAGTTTATAATTCGAATTTCCTTGTTACATAAATAGCTATTGCTACATTTAAAATCGACGAAAAAATTAACTTACAAGCACAGCCTGAATCGCAAGCAATCATCGAGGTCTGCAGGTGACGTCTCCACTATCAGCTGCTGACAATGCTGCTGATTGTGGTGACGTCAGTCGCAGACCCGCTGCCGACTCGAGAACTGGCGAATGTTTTGACAGTGGAACATAACTACTGAATCCAATGCAGCTCGTACTTTGTGGTTCATAGAACTGTCTTTGCCGCTTTCCAGCTGAATTGTGTTTGTGCTTCAAGCACGGTGCAGCCCAATGTTCTGTGTTTGAAGCGCAAAAGTTAGCAGCTCTCGAAGCGCAGTACGGCTGGAACACGAACACGCGCTTGAAGTATTCCCGTAAAAGCTCTATTGTGTGCTCAAAATGGTCAGCCTGAGCTGCTTTCCAGTATCATGACCTGTGACGTTTGTCCGTACGTATTGCTCGGGAGCTCAACGCTCCGGGTAGCTCCGAGCGTCACACTACCATACTGGGCCGAATTCAGAAATAACGCACAGGGTGTGAGTGCGATTTTATGGGTGTGCCTGAATTGACAATTGGCCATTGGGCCATAGCACCGTCTAGCATTTTTGAACAGCTAGGGCGTCGCACCGCCCGCACCGGTTTCACACTCACACTCGGTGTGTCATTCCTGAACTCGCCCCTGAAAAGCAGCTTTGGAAAGCGGCATTAGTTGTATTCCTTTCAACAGTTTAAAACACGGTTGCGTTTAGAAATAGCACTCTGGATGTGAGAGTGACCCTAGAGTAACTCTAAACCGTTCATAAATTACCAGGTGCTTATTCGAGGCGTTACGCTGGAATCGTTCAAAAATCGAGAGTTGACTTGCCCAGAGTGCGCCCAAATTACCCCACTCAGGGACTGGGTGGAAAAACGCCCCGCGGTTTTTACCAGGTTTGACGTGATTCATGACAGTGACGACGTCACAACACTCTGACAAACAAGTACTCTACCTTCACACTCCATTTCTAAACGCACTCCAGAGCTACTCGCTCCCGTGTTACTCGACCCTGATTTGAAAGGAACGGATGCGCTGGCTTTCATGCATTTAAATAATTCGAGTCGGGCTTGAGCACTCAGGTGCAAGAAACACTTTTCGAAAGGAATAAGTGCGTAGCGCCCCGGAGCTGTTCCAGAGCTCCTCCCAGATGTGAAAGGAATACAACTATTTTGACATGAGTTTTGACAGTCAACGTCAACAGTCAGTTCATTGATGACAAAACAGCTGCTAGGTTATGACAGGTCGACGTGTATTTTTCCGGATTTGTATTTACTTTTTCGTAGAAATCTAATTCCAACTCAATGAAAAAAAACTAATTATTAATTAATTATTCACCAAGAATAATCCTCAACAATGTCTTCTTCCGCTATTTATATACTGGATATCAAAGGAAAAGTCCTTATATCCAGAAACTATAGGGGCGACATCGATCTGAGTGTAATCGAAAAGTTTATGCCATTATTAATGGAAAAAGAGGAAGAGGGCCTGTTAACGCCTATATTACAGACCACCGAGTGCACCTTTGCTTACATTAAAACCAACAATTTGTACATCGTGAGTACTAGTAAGAAAAACGCAAACATTGCACTGGTTTTTGTATTTTTACACAAAATTGTAACAGTTATGACGGAGTACTTTAAAGAGCTGGAAGAAGAAAGTATCAGGGACAATTTTGTTGTGATTTATGAACTTTTGGACGAGCTAATCGATTTCGGTTACCCGCAAACAACTGACAGTAAAATTTTACAAGAATACATTACCCAGGAAGGACACAAATTGGAAATTCAAGTTCGTATTCCTGTAGCTGTTACTAACGCAGTCTCCTGGCGTTCTGAAGGAATAAAATATAGAAAAAATGAAGTGTTTTTGGACGTGATTGAATCAGTTAATTTGTTAGCTAACGCCAATGGCAATGTCTTGAGAAGCGAAATTGTTGGTGCTATAAAAATGCGAGTCTACTTATCAGGCATGCCTGAACTAAGATTAGGCTTAAATGATAAAGTTTTATTTGAGAGCACTGGCAGGGGCAAATCGAAATCTGTGGAACTGGAAGATGTTAAATTTCATCAATGTGTAAGACTATCGCGTTTTGAAATTGATAGGACAATTTCATTTATTCCTCCTGATGGTGAATTCGAATTAATGTCGTATAGATTGAACACTCATGTGAAACCTCTCATTTGGATTGAGTCGGTGATTGAAAGACACGCTCATAGCAGGGTCGAATATATGATCAAAGCCAAGTCTCAGTTTAAAAGAAGATCTACTGCAAATAATGTTGAAATTGTCATTCCAGTTCCACAGGATGCGGATTCACCTAAATTTAAGACTACTATCGGCAGTGTTAAATACGCACCTGAACAAAACGCCATTACTTGGACTATTAAATCATTCCCTGGAGGTAACTGCTGGCATTATGTTAGGGCAAGAATTTAAAGTATTTTTTTTTTTTAATTTTTAGGTAAAGAATACTTAATGAGAGCTCATTTTGGCTTACCAAGTGTTGAATGTGAAGACACAGAAGGCAAACCACCGATTCAAGTCAAATTTGAAATTCCGTATTTTACTACATCAGGAATTCAAGTACGCTACTTGAAAATTATTGAGAAAAGTGGGTATCAAGCCTTACCTTGGGTTAGATACATTACACAGAATGGAGATTATCAGCTCAGGACAAACTAATAAGAACACTTTTTTTGTTGACTATTTCTTTATATTTAACGAATTATTATGGTTTATATATTATTAATATTTTGAAATAGTTATATTTTTTAATAACTAAGTATTAGTTTAAAAAGTATTATTTCAAGCATGATTTGATTGTTTTAATAAAATTCGTCCTGGAAACTATTTGAAATTGTTTTGGAATTTTTATTTAAATTGCCGAGCAATATCAAGAGGTCTAAACCGATAAGCCTATTGCAATTATGTAATGTTTTTTCTTTGTATGTGTGAGTTCAGTTAGATTATCTGTATACACTGTGGCGATATTCGAAGGAAATAGTAAAGTTTGCTAATTCTGTAGTATCTGACATCCAATGATCCAAGGCGTGAAAAAGGAATTGGCGAATAGGTATAGGCTATATACCTACTAGTGAAATAGTTGCTAATATTAAAAATAACATCGACAAAAAACCTAAGCTGAAATGTTTTCAAACGTGACTGAAAGAACTGAAGAATTAAAATCAACTATTAGTAAGTGAATTCAAGACCGACCTTGAAGCAAAGGACAAAAAATTTAAACATGACTTGGATATAAGCTTTAAGTAAAAAGTGTCTTCAAAGGTCAGCTAAGCTCACTATGATGCTGGAGGGATTGAGCCTGCGATTACAGAAATGGAAGAAAGACAAAAATGCAGGTTCAATTTCCTTATTTTTGGTGTTAAGGAGTAAAGAGCTTCTACTGGACCTCAACGAAAAGGAGACAAACATAAATAAAAAAATCTCAGAAAAATACGAGTGATGCCATTTTCAATGTCCTGGAGCAGGTATACCTCAGACTTAATGATGGTGAGAAGGCTGCAGCGGTGTTTTGTGACTTGACAAAGGCTTTTGACTGCGTCAGTCACGAGATACTGCTGCGCAAGCTCGAACTCTATGGTTTTAGGGGTGTTGTCCTGAGGTGGTTTGGTTCTTATTTGTCACAGAGAAGTCAGAGTGTTGTCTCTCGGGGTAGCGTTTCCGGTAGCCTAAGTGTTAGCGCCGGCGTTCCGCAAGGGTCTGTTTTAGGGCCATTGTTGTTTTTACTATATGTTAATGATCTTCCTGCAGCTGTGAAGAGTAGTCTATGCACTTCCTTTGCTGATAATATCTACCACAATAGTTTGGCATCATGAAGACACTGTCATGCTGACTGCTATGGTGAACGATGACTTAAGCGAGAATCAAAATGTGGTGTGACTCCAATCGGCTGTCATTTAATATTCAAAAGACAGCCATCATGAATTTTAAATGTAATCTTAGTAATGTTTTTCTGGATGATACTATTATAGGCAGAAGCATGGAGACCAAATATCTTGGCCTAATTGTTGATGATCAGCTCAGGTTTGACAAACACACTGAGCATTTATGTAAAAAAATATCATCAGCATGCTTTGCTGTTAGAACTGTCAAGGCTGAGAGGCTGAGCTGGGCGAATCAGTTGCTAGACGAGTGTATTTTTCTTTGATCGAGTCACATCTTAGTTATGGCATTTGTTTCTGGGGTTCTTGCTCATACATACTGAATACAGGGACACTTCGTATTCACGTTGGTCATTACCTGTAAAAATCTTTCTAACAATTTCTATTGCCAACGGAAAGCTCAGACCAATCAGTGTAGTTCAACGCCGGTAGGGGTATTTGCCCTCGGAGTAGTTGTTTCTGACTGGTCAACGAAGTTCAATTTTGCTTGGACAGGGAGCTTCAGCCTATGTCCTTCTGATGAGTCCTAACAAGGACGAAACGCGTCAAGGATTGGCACGGGAAGCCTGAGTCCACTGCTCAGTGGGCCGATTCCCAAACAGGGACCGAAGTGTCCCTGTATTCACGTTAGTCATTACCTGTAAAAATCTTTCTAACAATTTCTATTGCCAACGAAAGCTCAGACCAATCAGTGTAGTTCAACGCCGGTAGGGGTATTTGCCCTCGGAGTAGTTGTTTCTGACTGGTCAACGAAGTTCAATTTTGCTTGGACAGGGAGCTTCAGCCTATGTCCTTCTGATGAGTTCTAACAAGGACGAAACGCGTCAAGGATTGGCACGGGAAGCCTGAGTCCACTGCTCAGTGGGCCGATTCCCAAACAGGGACCGTATTCACGTTGGTCATTACCTGTAAAAATCTTTCTAACAAAAGTTAAATTACCGCCCTCGTTACGATGTATTATTTTTGAATAAACCTCATTTGTCTCCTTTTTTCTCAGTTTTTATGTATGTCTCGAAGTGGCCCATCTCATGGGCTACCTTGAGACAAAATCAGATTTTTTTAGATTCCTCTATAAAATAAAATAAATAATATTGTGTTAATAATTTATTCAAAAAATGTGTGCAATAAGATGAAAGATTATGAGGCTCACGAAACTGTAGCGAAAAAATTAAAATTACCAATTTTATCCCCAAAAAAGTAAAAACTGTCTCAACGTGGCCCACCCTCCCCTACCTACTTTGTTGATGATTTCAATTTTAATTATATTATATTTGGAAGCTTTGTTATCAAGATTTGTATCTTTAAACAATAAAGCATATTTTGATGTACCCCTAGTCAATATACAGCACTTTAGGCTGGGAAGATACCAAGATAATTCTCGTCGCCCTATCAAAGTAGGTAATCCTATACTAACAAAAACAAATGCCCAAACTATCCTAAAGAACAAGAACAAAATCTCGATTGTTGATGTAGGTACCTCCTACTTGCATCAAATATGACCTCACAGAACTACAAAGAAAATTCCGCAGATAAGTATTGATATACGCACAGTTTCTTTCCCATGGCTCGTTTTTTTTCTGTACTATTTTATTCCGTACTCTTGCTTGTGTTTCTTTATATATTTCTTTGTTTCGTATCTTATTTCAATTTGAAAACAGATACTGTTAGTATTTCTTCCTTTTATCTGCTATGTCTTTCTCTATTTCTTGATCCCACCAATAAGGTGAGGGCCTTCTTCCATTTTTTTTTTGTATTTGTCTAGGGCTTCAAATGCTGCACTGTGAATAATCTCTTAAAAAGATATATGGTATTAGGCGGAAATAAAAGTAAAAGTATACCCCTGGTCCGACAGACCAGAGACTTGTTTCCCATTTTAAATTATATCATGACAAAAATTGACGAATTTAGAATATTCATTGCATATATCATCAAACCCAACATTTATATTGATAACAGAGACCTGCCCAAAAAATACCGCTTTTGACGCGACAACAGTCCCCAGGTCTGAGTAGACAGGATCGTTTTGAGGAAAAATTAATAGAAATAGAAATCACTCAAGCTGATAATCTATTCAGTACTGCCCCTTGTCAAAACATCTTCAATTATCCAGCCGCTTTTTTCTTCGGCGGCACGCGCTTTGGAAAAAAGGCATCGTTTTGTGCACATAGTCGCCGACAAATGCGGTAAAAATCAAAAGAAGCCGAAACGTTCTGTTAATAAAAATTAGACTTCACCAGCTGACAAGTTTTCCCACTAGATTTAAACGAGTTCATCATTCACTACTCGACTTCAGTGGTAAATGACAAAAAACTTTTACACATCTGCAGGAGTCAGTGGCGACGCGTGACCATCAGTCTGGCGGGGGTGAATGGTATGGGCGGGTTGAGGGGGCGCCCTCCAAAAACGCGCCGCAGGCGAAATTTCTTGCAAATTTCAAGGTCATTCACTTTTCCAGAACAATTATTTCCTTTGTGAGAAGAATAAAAAAAAAAAAAAAAAAATCTTCAATATATTTTGTATTTTCTTTTGGGCATCCTGATTTTTCTCTTGATAATTCGATCCTGGGGGAGGGGGGGTAATTACGCCTCCCGACGCAACGCCCCTATGCAGAGTGGACCCCATATAATGATATAGGACTTAGTAATCGTCTAGTCATACGAGCATATACACAGTTCAATGCATACCTTAAAGAGACTCATTCTGTTAAGAAAACTAGAAAAGAAACTTCTGGACTGCTGACTGTCAGACTGTGAATCGATTACCTCACCAAGAAAACATTAACAACCGAACGTGCGAAAATTATCTGCCAGAAGCTATTGAACGGCACTTAAAACCAGGAAAGTTAATCATAGCAAGCCATGGCTTAACAATTCAATTTTCCGTCATATGAAAAACAAAAGGAAGCTTTATAAGCCACCAACTAATCTCAAGACCAATTTCAGTTTTTTCGCAGATGGCACCAAACTCTTCTGCAATCCCATCACCAGGCAATGAAGACCTAAAATCCGAGCTACTGACAGTATCCGAGTGGTGTGACAACTGGCTGATGACCCTTCAATAAAAACGCACTTTTGGAGTGTTTTAACAGGAAAAACATACTTCCAGACCAGATAGAGGAAAATTGACTTAGATGTCATGGGATTGATTTACGAGAAACGTCGATTGTCAAAAACCGTATCGCGATATCTTCAATGGTACCATTAATACAGGGCGATTTTCGATTTTCCCCTATTATGAAAAATGGCTATAAGTTTTTTGTTTATCAATTTTTTTTGTTTCTGTAAAAACATTATGGAGACACTTTTGTTGAGCACAATCCAGTGGCGGTCTCAGTTTTTTTCTATATCGTTCCGATTTCGAGATATCGACCAAATTCCGATATTTTCAAATGAAATACTCTATATATTAATAGCTCATTGGATAGCTTTGTTTTTGCTGATTTCAATGATATAAAGTTCGATAGGTTTATCTCTAACAGTTTTCGAGAAAAAAAATTATATCTGTTTTTGTCATAAGGACCAATGGGTTAGAAAAGGATTTTATATGTGTAAGGAGAATGAGGAAGGTCTCTTTCTAAATTCTAACACATTGTTTCTTATGACTGAAACAGATATTTTTTTTTTTCTCGAAAACTGTTAGAGATAAACCTATCGAACTTTATATCATTGAAATCAGCAAAAACAAAGCTATCCAATGAGCTATTAAAATATAGGGTGTTTCATTTGAAAATATAGGAATTTGGTCGATATCTCGAAATCGGAACGATATAGAAAAAAACTGAGTCCGCCACTGGATTGTGCTCAAAAAAGTGTCTCCATAATGTTTTTACAGAAACAAAAAAAATTGATAAAATAAAAAACTTATAGCCATTTTTCATAATAGGGGAAAATCTGAAATTGCCCTGTATCAATGGTACCATTGCAGATATCGCGATACGGTTTTTGACAATCGACGTTTCTCGAAAATCAATCTCATGACATCTAAGTCAATTTTCCTCTATCTGGTCTGGAAGCGTGTTTTTCCTGTTAAAACACTCCAAATTGCAGCACCCTGTACATTGGCACCAACAATCCCCTATATGATTACAAACTTAATAACATTACGATGGTATCTACTAATGAACAAAGAGATCTTGGCGTCATTGTAACCAACAATTTAAAATCAGAAGAATATCAAAATTATATTTTCGTTCTTGCCAAATTTCTATTAGTTTCGGAAATACAGGGTGTTTTATGAAATTTAAGAAAAACAATTTTATCAAATATTTTAAAATCCATTGATTTTAGTGACATAATTTAAATTCAAAAGTTTAACATTTTTTTCGGTCCTACAACATGGTACCTATACTTTTTTTTTTACTGTCCCTATGAAATAGTTGGGACCCTGTATATACCCTAAGTGACAACCACAACCCTTGAGGGCACCCTAGAAAATTAGAGAAGAAATTTATTGTGCAATAGGGTGGTCTATACATGAAACTCACTAAGTGAAGAAACAGCCACAGCCCCAATCGTTCCAACCACCAACTTGTATCAAACTCGTTCAAAAATAGGCTGGATAGTGATCTCAGTTTGATGCCTAGGAGATTTATTCATTATTCTGTGTAAACTACTTAAAATTTAAGAAACATCTTGGAACTCGTTGAAAAAGGCAATCTTCTGAACTTTAACGTATACATCAGCTCCATCGGTTCTACCGCTTGCTGTTGTTTAAATAATAATAAAAATAATAATAATAAAATTTATCTCCGGCTATTTCTAAAAAGTGGTATTAAGTTGAACCAAAGATGTTGCAAATTCTTTCTTCACCGGAACCTATATAAATCATTAATCATCATTGATTGGGAGCAATTGATGCAAGCAAAATTATGTCGACACCGACTATTAAACGAACCGCGAGTCGTTAACTATGATTTCTTAATAATTTCTGGTAATTAATTTGTCATCTGGGCATTATTTATCGGATCTTTTCTTTTCTTGGAGATGTTAATTGAAATGTCACAAGTGTGCTTCTTATTTGAGTTCGATGGTTTGAAAAAGACTGACAAATTATTTAAGTACCTATTTATTATTTAAATTTGAGAAGTTTTCAATATTTTAAGTAATTTGTACAAATGTCAATTTTAATTATTTTTAAATATTGCTACTTAATCCGAACTTCTCTTTAAATATTGAAGGTTTAATTAAAATTAGATTATTCGATTCATTTTAAATTTTCCAGTCATTATTTGAGAACGATTTTTGAAAACATATTAGGAAGTTCATAGCGATATCTGGGAAAATAACTCCCTCGTGATTCATCCTTCTTTGAAATTGCTTCTCGTAATTCAGAATATTATATGTATAGGCAAAGTCTATATATCCTCGAACTGGTTCTCTATAGTATAAATGACTGAGATGAAATTAGAACAAAAACTACTGCGAAGGTGGAGTATCAAAATGGAAAAACTAAGAGAATGATGATAGACATTTTCCAATAAAAACAATTTGTCTGCAGCAAATTTCAATAGGACTAGTTTAAGTGTCGGGTGTCCACTGGCCATCGAGATTTTTTTTACACTTTGATAAAAGTATGTTAACCACAATTGTGAATTGAAGGGCATGGTAACCGTCTAAAAAATAAAAATACTTTTATAGGTTTTTCAAACAATTTTAATAATAAGTAATAACTAATATATAAATTAACTCTTAACCAATAACTAATACTAGTAAATTATTACAAAAATACTATATTAATATCGTTACATTATCAAAAAAAAAAAATAGGGAAAACCAATATAGCCACATAGTTTCACCTTTGTTTTGTGATCTGGCTCAAAACTATCACAATATATGAAAAACTGGTCCAAGGTAATTTACCTACTAAAAGAGAGCAGGACAAGAAAATGTGGACAATTAAAAGTGGTAATTTTTTCCTATTTTTAATTATTAAAATACTTGTATCACATAGGTTTTACTTATAATCTCAAATAACAATAATATTTATGATAACTTAGTTTGTTTCTTAAGACAAATAATGGAATGGGTAACAGTCAAAATATTTATTTATACTTCAAGTATCCGAACTGAATTTATGACATCGCAAGGGCTGTTTATTCACTGGTAATCACAGTTGTACAAACATGGTATTGGTAAGGGATGGGTTTTTAACCTTTTCTTTTTCAAGGAGGCTCGCTGATCGTAGCTACACCTCACCAAAAAAGAATCCTAATAAAGAATTTAAACTAACCCAAACTTGTTGGCAGTTAACCTCACGTTAATGATGGTCTGATATTGTAGGTACGTTAGTGAAAATATTGCTCAGATATATTTTTGCTAGATGTATATCATGAACATTTTTACTTTAGTTTACATTGTGTTCGCATCCTTCAGATTCCTATTAGCAGTGCAAAAACATACCTGTTAAGGACCAACAATCAAAACGCGAATTGTTGTATAAATAACTTTTTGGCTAAATAAATTTACTAAAATGCCTTTCAAAAGTCGATTTCTTCGTAGGAAAAAGACGGAATTGTGCATTTCCTTTTTAAAGCGTTAGTGGCGCCAGAACTCAGCCCACTTCTGTCTGATTCTGGTCGAGTGTCGTTATTTGAATCAGAAAAGTAGGTAAGTTCATCTTCTGGTTCTTCAATTTTGCAGGAACCAATCCATTCGCTTTCCGGATCCGAAAATATATTTTTGTCACTCTCTATTACATCTTCAAAAGAATACTCCGATGTTTCTAGAAAGAAAAAAAAATATGGATTAAAACACAAAATTCTATGTACTCTGTAACTCTGCTAATGATGACCACAATCAAATGGGTTTGGAATCAATGGATTACCCAATGTTTATTGTTAATTTTGACAAGATCATTAAATATACAATTTTTGAAAAAGAAATAGATAGGCTCTTATAGCTGTCGATACCATGTTGACTATGATGACTCAGCTAAACAAACTCCAATAATTTGATAAGTGAAATTTACTGGAAGTCAGGCCTATACAGGGTGATTTACGTAGTCCGTGCATTAGCTTGCAGATGGATTAAATGTTATTTCTACTAATCCACCTGCAAATTGGGACACTTCTATTGCACGGGTTACATAAATGACCCTGTATAGTATGTATTTTCTGCAACACTGAAATATACAAAACGGATGGTACCTATGAACAGCTATTCCAAGAACGCATTATTTTGATATATTAAACAGTAATTTCCTTAAACATTCAGTAAGTACTTAACAGGAATTTTTGCCACTGTCAATAGAGCTTTTTTTTAGCATACCTATATAATTCAACACTTACGGTCGTCTAACTGATAAGGTTGCCCAAGTTCCCCATAATTGTTCCAACTATCGTCAAATTCCAAATTTGTATTTACATGTTTCTCATGAGGAGTTTGTAACATAGGCGATTCACTATCAGTGACGTCGAAAATTTCTGTGACTTTAACCTTATTATTTTCATCTAAATAATAGTAAGCCATGATAGCGTCGTGATGCGACGTTACTTGGAGGATGTGGTCGAAGGTGTCATCGTCCATTGTATCTGTCTTGTTGACCGTAAAGCTGGGTTTACGTTGCAGAATTTGGCGCGTTTTGAATTTACGTTCCGGACTTTGTTCAAGTGGTAAATCGCTGTTGTCTAAGTTCAGGGTGAAGTTCAAGTTCATTTTGTTTTCGACTAAATCGTGATCTAATTCTGTACTATCTGGAAATGGAGAAAAAAAAATCATATGTAGTCATGAACTTCTTTGATCATGTATAATTTTTAGAGTTGGCATTAATGTTCTACATTTATCAAGAAAATTGGTCAAGTACAGGCATTTGTAACTTACTTCCTCCATATTCCGTGATGGCCAACTGACAAGTGATTTTTGCGCTAACTTGTTGACTTTTCCTGTTAACCCTGTTCAGCACATTAGAGACTTGGTCCAACATAACTTTGCTTATGTCCCACAGTGTGTTGCTGACGTGTGGAGCTGACGCCATCACCCTATTTTTGAAAATTAATAATTAAAACTTCATATAATTGTGTTTCGAAAAATTAGTTAAAAATGAATTGTTAAATGGATGGTTAGTCACCTTTCCCTTTCACGCACCCTACCGTCAGCCTCGTCGTCGTCATCAGTGACATTGTGTGATAAAGCGAGCGCCCGACACGGTTTGTGTTGGTACAAGTGAACCTCAAACTGGTTTCCGACAAAGTTCATCAACTCAAAATTCGTAACTTTACGAAAAACTAATCTACGAGTAGCTTGTGGTACTACTGGGGTCAATAAGCACAACCTAAAAATACGACTGTAGCGTGCATCCATAAGCGGAATAAAAAAGCAACATAGAAACACACATCAAACCCAAACAAACACGCACAGTGACTAAACATTCTTTTGGTTTGTAGTTTCAACTTACTTTGTAAATGTTGCATACATGATGTCGGCTGGAAGTGTATAGGGTAAACTCAATACGGACAAAAGTTTCATGCCTCTATGTTTGAAAATCCAATTTAAAACACCTTTGTTGGCTGATTCTATGACTTCTTGGAAGACGTTGAGAACGGTGTCAGGTACATTTGACACTAAAGCTTCCTTAAAAAAAAAGATAATATTTTTATATAAAAAATCATAGTGTATACATATAATATAATTCAGACCTAATCTAACATGTGCATGTAACAAGTAAAAAGAAAGGATAACAATAATATTCCAAAGAACATAAGTATATGTAAGTAAACTATCATTATAAAAAGTTTCAAAAATTAAGCTAGGCTACAATGTTAAGATATAACTTATAATCTAGCAAGGTTCCAGTGTGACAGGTGCTTTTCGAAAAGGTTGGAGTGGACAGAAAAAAATCAAGGAGCGGATGTTGGTTTGCAAGAGACACGGATCTGGAGACAAAGGAATTTTGACCGTAGTTGGTGCGGTTATATAGTTGATAGAAGCTTGGGATGTTTCTCGTATTAAAAGGTGGTACATATATACTGATGCTGAAAGATAGGGAAAGTCAACAAGGGAGTTGAGAATTTTGAAAAGAACGAGATCATAAATACTTCTTATTTCTTGAAGTGATGACATATTTGTTCGTAGTTATATTCAGTGTCTCTATAGAATTTGAATGAAATGAATATGATGCATACATTTTCCTATTGTGTTGTATTGTGTAAATCGACCTTTTTCATCATCTCAATAATGACAAAAAGAGTCAAGTCAGTGTCATATATAAACCAATCATAACATAAAAACATGTTGCAATTACTTTTGTTCAGCTTTGACGTTGACAAAAACTGACCTAAGTTTTAAAAGACACTTTTTGTTGTTAAGCCTGATTCACACTAGGCAAATTTAGAAAATATATATTGCCTGTACCATTTTTATGTTTGGCCAAGTGTACTCGCTCGATATGAAAAGCATACTAAGGGTCCCATACAGAGGTGGCATAATCTAAAAGACTTCTAAGACTGCAATATAGAATTTTAATGGCACGTATAGCAACAGAGTCATAATTCAGAAGTATTACGTTCTATAAATCCAATTATTCTAGTGATTTACCAATGATTGATGTTATGTAAGAGGCAAATGATAGCCTATCATCAAGAATAATTCCAAGATCCTTTATGTTTACAACTGGTGGTAATGTTGCACCATTAATAAGATAATGAAAATTAACGACAAGAAAATATCATGAGATTGCACTTAGAAATATTAACATGCATACCATTATCACAATATCAAGTCACAAATCTGTGAAAATCCTGCAAAGCAATGCAGTCGTTAAGATTAGACATTACTCTCTACATTTTTAGGTTGTCTGCAAACAGAATAAGGAACTCCGAAGACTGAAAGCAGGGTGCAACATAATTGATGAAGTTATTAAAAAGAAGTGGTTCGATGTGGGACCCCAGACAGCACAGGAATTTGGTTAGACAAGAAATTGTTGATTTTCACAATTTAAATCCTAATCGCAAGGTAGCTGACCAGCCAGCAGAGTAAGGTTTCATTTATACCCATCGTTATGACTAGGAGTTTGTCTATCAGTACATTATGTGAAACCTTATCAAAAGCCTTCGAGGAATCTGTGTAGAAGGAATGGACCTTCGCTCCACTCTCCAAGGCCTGCAATACAAAGTATATGTAAGCAGATTAAGTTCAGTATTTCTACCCACACAGAAGCCAAATTGCTGGTTAATGATGTCCAGGAAGCAGTAGTGAATTTAGATACTCAGTTACAAGGTTTTCAAAAATTTTAAGAATGGTATTGATGCTGCAAATGGGACGGTAATTTTTTATGTTGGACTTGTCTCCAAATCTTTGTATTGGGACGAAAAAACTTGTTTTCCAGAATTTGGGAAAAGATCCACTTTCCAAAGATTTATTAAACATAAGGTGTAGGGGGCCTAGCGAGAATAAATGGGTAGTTTTTAAGAAAGATAGGATAAATATCGGGACCCGCACCCTTGTGAAGATTCAAGCTAATAAGCTCAGTGTATATTGTATGTCACATATGGAAATTGAGTAATTTCGAACATTAATATGATTTAATGACAACTTTTGATTGCATTGTGGGTTACAGGCAGAGTAGACCAAGAAAAAATAACCTGCAAATAGGTTGGCACCCATGATAGCACTTTTATTATCAAGAGTGAGCAGATTAGGTATCTCAGGCGCATTGCGTTTAGACTTACAGAAATTCCAAAATGGTTTAGAATTAGTAGAAAGTTTATTTTCAGTGTTTTGGACAAAACTCCTATAACATACCTGGGAAAGGACACTACAATCTTAGGTTGGCAAAAACTTCATAGTCACCAGCCGATTTACTGTTTTTGTAATTTTTATGTGCAAACTTCTTTTGTATTGTTAGACTTATAAGATCCCGACTGAACCACCTAGGAAACTTTCCACTGAGTACCTTTTTGACCGAAACAAATAGACCAAAGCAACTATAGACAAATATAAAATGTGTTTAACATGGAATCTACATCCAGATTAGATAACAGATTATCCTAGCAGGAAGCACCAAAGTAATTGCTTACTGATATATCTGCAGATTTAAAATGATGGTAATATCAATCGGCTCTAGTATCTAGTACCAGCAGATGTGTAACATGATTGCGGGATAGGCAGGTCAGAGTAAAGGGGTGGATGATGATTATGCAGAAACGCAATGGACTTGTTATATAAGACCTTTTTTGGGGTATGGACACCCTTGCGCGTCTGAGCAGGAGAACGCATCCACTATACCAAATAATAATTAATGATTCAAGAGGCAAAATTCCCTATCGATACACCTATAGGGACCCACAAAAAATACTATTTCTGTAACAATTTAATTTTGTTTTGTAAGAGCGGTGATTGATGGATTAGGAAAAAATATATCTTTCTGCTGAGCAAATTTTTTTTCTTGGAGGCAATCAACACATCTTTTGCTGCTGAAGAGGCCACCATATTGTCCTTGCCAAAAAGCGGGAATTTGAATAAGTTATTTATCTACAAGCCAATTTGTGTTTCAGCGTTCCACAGAGTTACAGTATTTGTACCCAGCACAATCTGCCGTACAGAGGTATTGCCCTGTTGCCCATGTTTGGCCTTCTTGACCTCAATCTGAATCTGAATGAAGTAGTATTAGGTGGTGTCCTGCGATAACATGTCAAAAGCCTTCAAGCATAGAGTACTTCTATTGTGCAAAATTGAAGGATGTAAATACTGGTTTTGGGATCTTTTCATAATTAAGCTTTCCATTTCTGAAAAATTTCCTGACAATCTATCCTTTGGCAGGACGCTGATTTGAGAAGATTTCATCAAACTGTCTACACAGATCTTGCCCTTATGGAGGGTTGGGGCGACGCCGATTTGTTTGCCCCTAATGTCACTGAAACTAACTTTTTGTGTTTCAAATTTAAAATGGATAACATACAATTAACTATATAAAATTCTTATGGTGTTCATGTTTCAATTGCGTTTTACATCATATCATTATCATTCTTTATATTTCTGTTCAATGATCTCATCGGTTCATTCAAAACACCCATTATGTTATAAAAAAATATAAATACTTGGCATTTATATTGTTAAGATCTTTTTGTAGTGCCATATGATTATCGACAATTTATTATTCACTTGATGATAATCTATCTACCTCTTGTATATATTATTATCTGAGCAGACTTTGGTTCGAGCCAATCTCCATTTTTATAATAATATGATGATCACTAATATGGAGTGTTTTTATGTATAAAAATTCAGGGTATTTTAGTTTTATTGTTTGAAAAGACTAGTCTATTTAGCTGTGTAGGCTGAGTGACTATATTAACATTTTTTATGAAACCTGACATGACAAGTTTCTCCAACCTTAACGAATATGTATTATCAGAAAACCAATTAATTATAAGAACATATGTGACTCAAGTCTTCTGATGCCTCACACCAATTTTCAAAACAAAAAATCATGAATTCAGAACAATTTGTACTAGCAGAAGGATACAAATCATCTATCTTATAATATTATGCTACAGTCCCTTTCAAAACAATAAACCCATTGTACAATAAGTCAGCTTAGTTTTTTATGTATTTTTAGGTAAATTACTTCGCCACAATTCTGTCTGTTTTCACAGTTTACCCTATATACTTATAACCCAAAATAGTAATTTTAAAATCAGTATCCTAAGATAATCCCTTTTGAACATACTGCCATTGGCTATATATTTATGAATCGAGTTAAAAATACTGCATGCTTCCTGGTCTTGAATCCAGCACTTTATTTATCTTGGTTATAGGTAATCGCACTTGTTAGTTTTTAAGTAGGTACCTACCCATTGACCATTAATTGTTAATTCTGATTTCTGGTTCAGAAACATTTTTTCTGTCATTTAACAGGTCTGTAATTGCTTGTAAACTAACATCTTATTTTCATTTCAATGTAGATTTTTCATAGTCAATTTTTGTGGTGGCTTGAGGATCCTCAGCATATTCATTGGAGAATATGTAATCCAATACTTATCCAGAGCTCTTTGTTGTTTTGCTGACATTTTTATACTTTAAGGGCGTTTGCAAAATAGAATTCGTTTCTTTCAATCATACTACCAATTTGTAATACTTTTTTTTTAACGAGATAACGCACAATGTTGCCCCCTGTGATTGTTCAAAAAACTGCACTATTGCATTAGAAGTAAAGTCCAACAAAATCGATCAAATTTTATTTTTTTTGTAGGTGATTAGATTAATTATTATTTATAAACGTTACGACATGCATCAGTTTCCTTTGTTGATACCATCCTACTTTTATACTTTGTTCGCCAAAACGATAAATAATTTCAAAGTGAGCCGCACATAATAAATGCACATTACTTGTTATCTTAAAGCTTGTATTTTTGAAACAAAAACGGACCTTAATCTATGACTAAACCTCTATTTTTATATATCAATAATTAAAGTATGAGATCAATTAATAATAATAATTAATGTCTAAAATTGCATTTTTTAATTGGTTTATTATATTCGGCCTTGTCAGATAGATATTTGAACACAAAGGAATTATCTTTTTATCAAAACAACACTTTGCAAATTGGTTTTTATAACAAAAGTACAAATTCATTTTCATGAGAACATTTAACCTCGTGACAATAAATTTTTATTGTTGAAAAATTAAAATTTATCAAGATTTTAGGAATAAACGTTAACTAAATTGCGTAAATAAGTCATCTTACCTGTCTGTGCATTTTACAATCTTTGCACTGAGGATCGTACACTAAATGTTCGTCCAGAGTATCCGAAACTACAAAAGTAGATTGAACCGCAAGACATTTGGTGCAATTTATCAGGTTGTTCCGGTGCAAGAACCTCAAGGCATCATCGAAGCCTTGTTTGCACATATTGGCCAACGTCTCTGGCTGGGGTGGAAACAGGATTCTGACCATCCTGTAAATGTTGTGTTTGGATAGTTCGATACTCGTATTGGCTATGTTGATCTGGAAAAAGAACAAGTACCTATGAAGTTGATTTATTGATCAACAACTGCTGTGATTTTATAGTCAGTATGCAGGCCTGGGTGGGAAATGAAGACAATTCACCAATTTACCAAGCTATAACCTATAGGTATAGTCTTTATAAAGTCAGTTGAAACAAGGTGAAGATAAATAATGACTGGTGGCTAACTGGTGATTGAATATTTCCATAAGAAATGCACTGCCACTAGTCAGCCACCAGTTGTAATTTATTTTTACCTTGTTTCAACTCACTTTGAAAAGACTTTAACTAAGATGAGGTAATAAGAAGAACGAACACCAACAATCGTACTTATAAACTCAGATGATACGTAGAACACCATATAACTGCGGTGCCATTGATCTTCTGGCCCTACTTCAGACCTCAGCTGGGTTTTCTTTTGTGCTGGTGTGTGTACCGCCCAACGGGATGCTCTATTTCTATAGAAGATGATACATTCACTTCTCTTGAACACGATTACTAATCTTGCATCAGAATACAAAACCTTGGGCGATTTCAACTCTCCCAAAATCTCATGATCAATTACAGATATAGGTGCATTTAGAGATGGAGCTGCCATATTGGGTGAGACTCTATTTAAGTGAGGGGTTACATCTGCTTGTGACCAAACCCACTCGATACAAAGAGAGTCAAAACCCCTCATTAGTTGACCTTGAGAATGAGATATTTGCCAGACACTCATTATCGTCGAGAAAACAACAAGTTGGTGAGTCTATTGATCAATATTTATAAGCCCTGAAGCTCATGAGCCAAGACTGCAATTTTAAAGCAGTCAATGCAGATCAAAGTAGGGACAATTACATCAGAGATACTTTCATAACTGGTCTTACTTCTTCTCATATAAAACAGAGGTTTTTGGAACATTATACTTTGAGCTTAACACAAGCATTTGATACTGCTAGAGCACTTGAAATGGCTCAGCAACATTCCGAATCTTATCTTACACCTTTCTGTTCAAATATGAATGCTGCGATCTCTCATCAAACTCCTGACAATTCTTCTTTGAATGTACAGATCAAAAATGATCATGCTGTAGCAGCTGTCGCTTCTAAATGCTATTTTTGTGGTAGATCTAGACATGCCAAAGATAAATGTCCAGCGAAAAATTCTATTTGTTACAACTGCGGAAAGAAAGGTCATTTCACCCAGGTCTGTCAATCGAAAAATCAAAAGCCCCATTTTACTAAGATAATAATTGCTGCTCTTTTGAGGGGGATATCTGGAATTACTTCTCCTGTCAGTTTATCAAAACCCTAATCGAAAAGCAAATCAATGGATTTATGGCCAAGGCACTGGTCGACACAGGAAGTTCGGATAGTTATATTTCCGGTACAGTTGTAAAAGAAAAACATATGAAAATTTTTCTTACAACACTGATAGTTGCAATGGCATCTCCAAATTTTAACTCTTTGGTACGTGGATTTTGCAAAGCTGATGTAAGATATTTGACAATATCTATAAAAATACCAGACTTTACATTCTAGAAGAACTATGAGCTGATATAATTGGACATGATATTCTCAAACAACATTTAGGAGTAGAATTCAGTTTTGGGGGAAGCAAACCACTGAACTCCATAATATGTAATTTGATTATCACTAAGGTAGAACCATATCCATTATTCGAATATTTGGCAGAAAATTGTAAGCCTATTGCAATTAAATCTCGCAAATACTCCACAGTTGATTAAAAATTCATTGAAGCTGAAGTGCAAAGACTTTTAGAATCCAGCTTCATCCCTGCAAATTGGAAATTTTCTACCTTTTTTGAAAAACCTTTTTTTTTTTAATAGGGTGTGTTACGATTCACCTTACATCCGGGGTGAATAACAAAACTTGCTTGATTTCACGTGTTTTGGCTTTCACACTGTCTAAGAGGTGAAAGGCAACACGTTTTATATTTTTAAAAAACATTTTACACTGCAAAACTTACAAAATAACTGAAATTCCTACATTTGAATGTTAACTTTTATAAAAAAAGAACAAATTAACAGGTTATTCTTCTCCATGGAACAAAATATGTTCTTATTAAAAAAAAAACACATACAAAGTTAATTCCACTTGGCGGCGTCCTTTTTAAATATCAAAATGCCTCTTCGGTCATTTTTAGGGTCCTTACGGCGGCGGGGTGACAGGGTCGTACCCTGTTGTTGCGATTGACCCCACTTTTTCGCGATTTATAACCAATCAAATTAAAAAAATCATAGATTCCCGGCATTTGAGTTGATGTGTGGCCAAATGTAAAAATTATAATTCGGAAGGTACCAAGGACATTTGTTACAGAGCTTTACCTCAAATTTAAATGTTGAGGAGGTTTGTCAGATAAAGTTTTTTCAGGGACAAAATCTTATTAAAAATTGATCCTTAATTAAATATTATAGGCTCAAACCTCAATATTTCAAAAATTTGGTTTTTGTGCTTTAAATATTAAGTGAAGGTCCCAAATACGTATAAAAAATAATTCAATTTTCTGAGAAGCATACAGACTGGTAAAAAAGATAAAACGATATTTTCCTGAAAACTGTTGCGATTGGTACACTAGTTGCGTTTCACCCCATTTTACGGTACCCGTTACCCAGGATTGAAGATATGGACAACCAAATTTCTCAGTATGAATATTTCAGTTCGATAGATCTTCATAGTACATATCACCAGATACCAATTCTAGAGCATGAACGTATATACACTGCCTTTGAAGCATGTGGAAATCTATACCAATTCACTCGAATTCCTTTTGGAGTGACTAATGGCGTTGCTTGTTTTCAGAGAAATATGAATAACATTATCAAACTCTGAACATTTAGAAGACACATATGCATTTCATGACGACGAAACCCTCTGTGGTAAAAATAAAGAGCATCATGATACAAATCTTAAGCGATTTTTAGAAGCTGTTAAGAAATATAATCTGTCGCTTAACAAAGAGAACTGCAACTTTGGCATAACTTAAATTAATATACTAGGGCATACAATAGAACCAAAATCAATCAAACCAGATATAGACAGATTTAAACCACTGATTCAGTTGCCACTACCTACTAATACTGCTTGGTTCGCTCAGGAGAGTTCAAGGCATGTTTGTCCATTATTCCAAATTCATTCGTGAGTTTTCTGAGAAAATACATCCACTGATTCGAGTTAAAAAGTTTCCATTGTCTGCTTGTGAAGCTGCTGCATTTGAACAGTTGAAGACTGATATACAAAACGCTGTTGTTATTTCCATTGACTATGAGGCCACTTTCAGTGTTGAAACTGACGTATCGGAATATGCTAGTGCTGCTCAACTTATACAGTCTGAAAAACCAGTGGCGTTATTCTCTAGAACATTGACGAAATCGGAATAGCGACGTTCTTCCGTAAAAAAAGAAGCCTATGCTATAGTGGAAGCACTTCGTAAATGGAGACAGTTTCTGATCAGATGTTACTTTGAGCTTGTAACTGACCAGAAATCGATCGCTTCTATGTTTAATTCACCAAGTAATTCTAAAATCAAAAATGAAAAAATAATGCGGTGGCGTCTGGAACTATCATCTTATAAATATGATATCATATACAGATCTGGAAATCAAAATATCGTGACAGATTTTACCTTCTTCTAGTGACAAAGCATTGCATAATCTACATTATTCTCTCTGTAATCCTGGTATAACAAGACTGTATCACTGGGTCCGAGGTAAGAATCTACCTTGCTCACTAGACGATATCAAGAGAATTTCAGCCACCTGTCCCGTTTGTGCGGAGATCAAACCAAGGTTTTATAGAAATTAATGGACCATCATAAAAGCTACTGTCCTTTTCGAAAGAATAAATGTAGATTTTAAAGGTCCATTGCCATCTGAGAACCAAAACCGCTATATTTCGACTATTGTGGATGAATTTTCTAGATTCCCATTTGGCTTTGCTTGTCCTGACATGACCTCATCAACTATTATAAATTGCTTAACTCAACTTTTTTCTGTTGTTGGGACACCATCGTACCTGCATAGTGATAGAGGGATATCATTCATGTCTGAAGAACTGAAAACATTCTTAACACGACATGGGATTGCAATTAGTCGCACTACTCCTTATAACCCGCAAGGAAACGGGCAGTGTGAACGGTATAATGGTATCATATGGAAAACCATTCAGTTAGCTCTAAAATCAAGAAACATGGATATAAGACATTGGCAGCAGGTACTGGTCGACTCTTTACATTCAATAAGGTCTTTGTTATGCACAGCAACAAATAGTTCACTGCATGAAAGAATGTTCTGTATTCCTGGTCTGACTGGGTCAGGGATTATTACCTCAGACAGACAGTTCCAAGTCAGACTTGCTGACTCTCTTTCCGAGTCACACCCAGTGCCGCAGGGCTCAGTGCTTGCACCACTGCTCTTTGTGTTGTACACGCTGGATCTACTGGACCTTATAACATCCTAATGCGATAGATGATATAAAGATCTACAGTCCTGCCCCTGACTCAGCCGCTCTCCAAGAAAACCTTAATTGAATTAATGAGTGGAGTGAGGACTGGCAACTTCCCCTAAATGTGGGCAAGTGTGTCGTATTGCACCTTGGAAAGAACAACCCACAAACAGATTACCCTATCAATGGCATTGTGCTGTCCAGTGTTTAGCAGCATAACGATCTTGGCATTCTAGTATCTAGTGATCTTTCCTGATCTCCCCATATCACCGACATTTGCAGTCAAGCAATCAGCAAAATATTTATGTTGAAAAAGGTATTCCCTGACATACCCCAGGAAGAATTCACCAAATTGTTTCTTATCTACTGCAGACCAATACTTGAATATACAGGTAACCCTAATCTGATAAGGGATGAGAACAACCTGGAAGTTGTGCAGAGAAAAGCCACGCGGTTGCAACTTGGCAGGAGAAGACCATCCTATCAAGAAAAACCATCACAACAAGGACTAATTAGTATTTCCGATAGAAGAGTCAAATACCCTCTATTCAGCATATTTACACCCTTAATACCGATCAACGTTTGAGAGACCACATTTTACGGTACCCGTTACCCAGGATTGAAGATATGGACAACCAAATTTCTCAGTATGAATATTTCAGTTCGATAGATCTTCATAGTACATATCACCAGATACCAATTCTAGAGCATGAACGTATATACACTGCCTTTGAAGCATGTGGAAATCTATACCAATTCACTCGAATTCCTTTTGGAGTGACTAATGGCGTTGCTTGTTTTCAGAGAAATATGAATAACATTATCAAACTCTGAACATTTAGAAGACACATATGCATTTCATGACGACGAAACCCTCTGTGGTAAAAATAAAGAGCATCATGATACAAATCTTAAGCGATTTTTAGAAGCTGTTAAGAAATATAATCTGTCGCTTAACAAAGAGAACTGCAACTTTGGCATAACTTAAATTAATATACTAGGGCATACAATAGAACCAAAATCAATCAAACCAGATATAGACAGATTTAAACCACTGATTCAGTTGCCACTACCTACTAATACTGCTTGGTTCGCTCAGGAGAGTTCAAGGCATGTTTGTCCATTATTCCAAATTCATTCGTGAGTTTTCTGAGAAAATACATCCACTGATTCGAGTTAAAAAGTTTCCATTGTCTGCTTGTGAAGCTGCTGCATTTGAACAGTTGAAGACTGATATACAAAACGCTGTTGTTATTTCCATTGACTATGAGGCCACTTTCAGTGTTGAAACTGACGTATCGGAATATGCTAGTGCTGCTCAACTTATACAGTCTGAAAAACCAGTGGCGTTATTCTCTAGAACATTGACGAAATCGGAATAGCGACGTTCTTCCGTAAAAAAAGAAGCCTATGCTATAGTGGAAGCACTTCGTAAATGGAGACAGTTTCTGATCAGATGTTACTTTGAGCTTGTAACTGACCAGAAATCGATCGCTTCTATGTTTAATTCACCAAGTAATTCTAAAATCAAAAATGAAAAAATAATGCGGTGGCGTCTGGAACTATCATCTTATAAATATGATATCATATACAGATCTGGAAATCAAAATATCGTGACAGATTTTACCTTCTTCTAGTGACAAAGCATTGCATAATCTACATTATTCTCTCTGTAATCCTGGTATAACAAGACTGTATCACTGGGTCCGAGGTAAGAATCTACCTTGCTCACTAGACGATATCAAGAGAATTTCAGCCACCTGTCCCGTTTGTGCGGAGATCAAACCAAGGTTTTATAGAAATTAATGGACCATCATAAAAGCTACTGTCCTTTTCGAAAGAATAAATGTAGATTTTAAAGGTCCATTGCCATCTGAGAACCAAAACCGCTATATTTCGACTATTGTGGATGAATTTTCTAGATTCCCATTTGGCTTTGCTTGTCCTGACATGACCTCATCAACTATTATAAATTGCTTAACTCAACTTTTTTCTGTTGTTGGGACACCATCGTACCTGCATAGTGATAGAGGGATATCATTCATGTCTGAAGAACTGAAAACATTCTTAACACGACATGGGATTGCAATTAGTCGCACTACTCCTTATAACCCGCAAGGAAACGGGCAGTGTGAACGGTATAATGGTATCATATGGAAAACCATTCAGTTAGCTCTAAAATCAAGAAACATGGATATAAGACATTGGCAGCAGGTACTGGTCGACTCTTTACATTCAATAAGGTCTTTGTTATGCACAGCAACAAATAGTTCACTGCATGAAAGAATGTTCTGTATTCCTGGTCTGACTGGGTCAGGGATTATTACCTCAGACAGACAGTTCCAAGTCAGACTTGCTGACTCTCTTTCCGAGTCACACCCAGTGCCGCAGGGCTCAGTGCTTGCACCACTGCTCTTTGTGTTGTACACGCTGGATCTACTGGACCTTATAACATCCTAATGCGATAGATGATATAAAGATCTACAGTCCTGCCCCTGACTCAGCCGCTCTCCAAGAAAACCTTAATTGAATTAATGAGTGGAGTGAGGACTGGCAACTTCCCCTAAATGTGGGCAAGTGTGTCGTATTGCACCTTGGAAAGAACAACCCACAAACAGATTACCCTATCAATGGCATTGTGCTGTCCAGTGTTTAGCAGCATAACGATCTTGGCATTCTAGTATCTAGTGATCTTTCCTGATCTCCCCATATCACCGACATTTGCAGTCAAGCAATCAGCAAAATATTTATGTTGAAAAAGGTATTCCCTGACATACCCCAGGAAGAATTCACCAAATTGTTTCTTATCTACTGCAGACCAATACTTGAATATACAGGTAACCCTAATCTGATAAGGGATGAGAACAACCTGGAAGTTGTGCAGAGAAAAGCCACGCGGTTGCAACTTGGCAGGAGAAGACCATCCTATCAAGAAAAACCATCACAACAAGGACTAATTAGTATTTCCGATAGAAGAGTCAAATACCCTCTATTCAGCATATTTACACCCTTAATACCGATCAACGTTTGAGAGACCACAACCTAAAACTTGAAAAGGAAAACTATAGTGCTGTGTGTGGGGAGAAATTTTTGATAAGCCAAATGTTTGCTCACTGGAACCAACTACCATCCACTACTGTCAATGCCATTTCAGTGTCAGTGTTCGAACACATCAAGCTTGATAGACGGACTACAATTCAACTGTGCAATCATTTATGCAAAAATTGGCCTATAGGTTTTACCTTGCCCCATATTAAGTTCATGATAATCAATAAATAAACTTTGTTAGAAGTAAATTACAATTTTATATAAATTTTATTTTGATATAACCATTTCAATCTTATGTGTTTTTTTCCAAAATTATTTCAGTTTTTTATACAATAAACTAAATTACTAGATGTCCCAAACATTGGTGACATTACCAGAAACTTGAAACAAAGCATTAAAAGTCGCACAAAATAACAAAATCTCTATCACGTAGACAATTGAAAATAATAGAAGCAAGGAACTTACTGCACCAACAACCACGTTAACAACAAATTGATGGAAAATGCTCCTGGATATAACCAGCCCCTTCATTAACTTTGAGAAGTCGCAATCGACAATAATGGACTATGTAAATGTAAAACTGAGCAGCAGTGAGTAGTACCTATATCTAGAAGTGGCAATAAATAAACCCTGAAGTTGATGATGTTGGTGATAAAACTTTACCAAACTAAACCAAATAGACAAAGAAAATAGTGGCTAGAGAAGGACATTATGATGACTGATGAAGCAAACTTAAAAGACATAATGTAAATAAAATTTGCTTACATGGAATAGTTGTGAGCTATCGTCTCTGGGACAAATATCACTTTCCCCACAAAACGGACTAACTGTAATGGTGTTTTCGTCTAAAGTCGGCAAATTGTCGCTATACCCTCCATCCATGTACCTTGTGCCTTTGAATTTGGGCGGAAATAATCCTGAGAAAATTGGTATAAACGCTGAAGCTAGTAGAGCTTGGATTAGTTCTTCTCGGCTATCGAACTGGGAAACTATGACATTTCTGCCATCGCACACTCTTGTTAAGGATATATGTAATTTCCCGCTGACTCTTATGTGAGCATCGTCCGGTAGAAATTTCTCTAAACCCTCAAGGAGCAGTTGGTGGATGTTGAATGATGGGTTAAATGGGCCTAAGGATCTCTTCCGCGCTTCTATGGCTACTCGGAGGATGTCGCTTGTGGTTTCACCTACAAAAAACCAGAGATAGTTAATTATTTGCATATCAATGTATTAAAAAAATCATGCCTATAATTTGTTTTTAAAAATTTACTACTACGTAATAATTATTCAATTATTTGTTGTTGCAGGGGATAGTTATAGGGTTGGCAAACATGAAAAATGTTTTGTTACTTACAAAACGACACTAGTGGTGTAAGTTGATGTGCAATGACTAAACACATCATAAGTAAAGTCTCTTGTCTCTTGCTACCCAAAATTCTCTTTGAAGTCGAAATAAAAATGCCAAATTCTCATTGATAATGAATTTTCCTCTATTTAAAGAAAAAATCGATTGAAGTTCATTAGCTCACTATTGAAGATAAGAAATATCTCGGATAACAAAAGCTCCCTTACGAACAGCAAACAAACAAAAATATATTCCAATATTAGCATAACATAATTATTTAATCTTTGACTAATTAAAGATAAATAATGAGGATGTTATGTATGTGGCACATTATTTGTGTATTTTTAATAGAAATAATTGTGTTAAACATTTCAAATGACAATATTTATATTTTTCATAACTTATAAAATTATTATGCTCGTTGAAATCCAAATTGAGTTGTGCAAATATGTTGCAAAATTTTTGAGATTTAATTGAGGAAATAGCTTATCAAGAAGGAAATAAACAGCTATAATAACAGCACGTTTTAGTTATTTTACGTTTTTTTCGTGCGTATAGTGGTGATAAACTTTGCCCCATCTATGACTTATTAACGGTAAACAACTTATGATAATAATAAGGAATGTTTATGTTAAACAGTTCCTGCCTTGGATAAATGATAAATACAACCATATAGAGAGAGAAGGTGCAACTATTTTGATCAATGAGACCCTAAAGATTGTGACCAACAAAATATTTCTTTGGTTGTTTGTCATAAGGTAAAGCTGTGGTAGAGTAATTATGGAAAACAGATTCTTGGATTCTTTGCACCTGGAACAGTAAGTATATTATAAAGGGACAAATTTGCATTTTTTCTATAAATTAGCAAATAGTAATGATCATAGAAAGATATTTACATATTATGAGCTGACGATAGTTGAAAATCGCTTAATTGAATTCTGATTATTTTAAATTTCAAATTTATTCACATTAGATATCTAACAATTTGTTTTGTAAACAAAAACGACGCGTTTTAGCAATTAAAACTGATTTTTTTTATACGCAATATAATTATGAATACCTAGTGAAAAATAATTAGTTCGTTTATCAGCAATTATCAGAAATTGAATGTGATAAAAAGTTCCCTTGTTTAAATATTTACACATTGTTTCCTAATAAAATTTTGCGTATTGTTTTGGCAAGCCTTGAACTTTTCTAAACTTAGCACCACTGATAAGTAATGTATGCTTTTGTTGGTAGGCCTTTGACAATACAATGCTTCTCTTGTCTATTTGGTGACCCCAAACACTTGACAAAACCTAAAGGGCTTGAAAAAATGAGGAATATTGTTTCAAAATTACATTGGTGTGTTGGTTGCAAGTTGCATTTCATTATGAAGATTTCTTGATTGAATGGTTTTGTACATAGCTTGTTGTAAATTGTAGTCCGTGATGTGAATTTTGTTTGAGAATTTTAGTGAACCATCCTTGTCAATTTGGTGTCAGAGGCAAGATTATTAGGGGGATAATTAGTAGATAGAATTAAGCTATTAGTGAGATCAACTTGGTTATATGTATAAAAGTCTCAAGTTTTAAGATAGATACAGAGTAGAGTATTCTATCATATTTACATATACATGATAGCAAACTGAAAAAACGGAGAAAGTACCTAATTCAAATGTTGCTCAAATGAAGTTAAAATTGACATTAGCTTTGTTTTGGTTCGAAATTTGGAACGGTTCTGGGATTGTGCAGAACTGCTTGCGCACAAAAAATAATAGAGGACTGTTCTAATACTAGTTCTGAACCGATTTGGAACCAAAAAAACCAAAACAAAACAGTTCCTCCTTCAGAGCAAGTACTGAGAGAACCGTTCTAGAACAATCCCATAATTGTTCCTAAATAGTTCTAGATAAACCAAAACACTGTCAACACAGTTCGATTACGATTCTGAAAAACGAAAACGCGTTTTATGATATGCGCATGTGCAGAATGATTCCGAACTAGTTCTGAGTGAAACCAAAACAAACCTAGTAGTACTAAACTTTGGTAGTACCAGGACCTACTTTTTTCTTTCTCGAATAAAAAAATAGTTTTGGGAAAATGGACATGGGCTATAATTTATACCTATATTTGACAGGTTTTTTTCAGGAAATTTATGTATAATAATCGATTAATTTTCAGAATTAATAAAATCTTCTACCAATTTGGTTAATATTTCAAAAGTTAATGATACTTTAATAAGATTTTGTAAAAGCGAAGAGAGTATAACTATAGTATTCTTACCTAAAGGCATATCCAGTATCAAAGAACAAGCAGCCAAAGCACCAGCAGAAGCCCCCGATACTTTATTCAACAATAAATGAGGGGCGTATTTGCGAAAACAACAGGCAACCCCTACATGGTAAATACCCAAAAAACCACAACCCGCAAAAGATAAATTCATTTTCTTGAGAATAATATAGGTATCTGCGAAATTATTTAAAACATACGGACGTTACGAAGTCCAATTGCGCACTGATTGAAATGAAATTGAAAATAATCGCTTTGTTGGAGAACAATAATTATTATAATTAATTATTTTGCATGGTTGCTACATCTCATCTCTGTCGTCAGGCACGGTTTCTTTATTCTGTTTTCATTGTTTTTTTTGAGCTCCTAATGGGTTACGTGTTATCTAATCAGTACTCTATCCTGCATAGTTCAATAGCAATTTTCAAATTTATAGATTCCTTTGTTTTAGAATTGATCACTGCCGGATTTTGAACCATGCATAAAGGGGTTATTGGAATTTTGGAGATCGATCGATTTCAAAAATAATATTAATTCAAACCAGATTTTCGTGAATGTTTTTTTGGGGCTATAGCATGTTACTATTAGAAAATTATCAAATTTAATTTAAAAGATTCCCACCTGAATTGCGGAAAGAATTGTTCGGTCAAAAACTGTTTCTAGCTATACAGATTTGTGTCTAAATACATATTTCAGCATTTATTTATTTATATCAACATTTAAAAGTTCACCGAATCCGCTCTGTATACGAATTTCCGATTCTACGCACATCAGGTTTTCAAAGAAAATACACTCTTTAAAGTCCTTGCTGGTTCTTTTTATGAAACCCAATATTTCTATTAGTCCTACCAACCATATCTGAATGTGCTCTGCGATTATGAGTTTGGTATTCAACTAAACGTCAAGATCAGTAACAATGAACACTTGAGTAAAGTAAAAGCAACCTTATTTATAGAATATTCCATAGGTATATCATTCATCAGGCCAGGCGAGTGAAGCGCATAAAGCATAATCAATTAACACCAATCCAATCATTGTTGTCAATATCAATATTCAGATCATTTTGCAAGACAAGAATATCATTAGTTGATGATACTTGATACTTCCCGAAATACTTATCTTAAGATCCTCCGCAAACATTAGAAAATCGGAGGAAAGCAGATTACCTAGGTCATTGATGAATAAACTGAACAAAGTGCTACGAACCGTATTATGCGTCTTTGCAACACATATATCCCCATGAATTTCGATTTTAACTGCACCCCAACTGCCTTTAAAAATAAGTCGATATTGGCTTGTCTTCATTGATCTTAGACAAATAACACCTTGGCAAACATAGTTAACAATTTGGGTAATATAAAAGCTCATATAAAAGGCGGGAGCAGAATAATAAAACCTGAATGGCGAGGGCAATTCTGGTTCTGATTTTGATTTCCTCGGTACTAAATATTCCTTTTAATCAATCACTTGTTAACTGTTTCCTCTGTTAACTTGCAGCTCCAATGTATGGGTATTGGGCGCCAAAACGTCGTTATTGGACACGACTTTAAAACCCTTGGCATTGTTTAATTTTTTTTTTGATATAGACTTAGTATATAAGTTATACCATTTGGAGTTTGTTCTGTTGTGTATTGTAGTTAATAAATAAAAGTGGCCCTGAGTAACCACAGATGTGACTTCTACTCAGCCGAGGAATAACCATGCCTGATACATACCTATGACTCCAACCAAGAAATCAGAGCACCTGCAATCCTATAACCGTTTTCAAGTGATGCATTGATAAAGTCAGTAGAAAGGAATAAGTTGGTATCGACAGAGCGGCCAAAGGTGAATCCATGTTGCTGATTCGCTATGATCTGATGAAAGGCACCCTGACAACTATTTCAATATAATGTTCAAAAAGCTTGGGTATCATTGAGAGATTATGATTATACTGATTGGTCTGTTATTATTCACATCATTTTCGCTACACAATTTGTGAATGAGAAGAACATGGTGACTTCCAGACCTTTGGGAACAGTGTAGCTAGAGGTGAGACACTTCGACAATAATATGCAATAAAGGGGAAGATATGGAGAGAGAACAAAGCTTGGAGAAACACTCTGTTTGGGATTCCATCGACCATCAGGGACTTCTCCTTCATTCGTGTCAAGTATAGACAGCGATTTTTCAATGTCAGATGTAGTAATCTGAATATCTGAAATTGGCTGAAAGGTGAGAAAGAACACTTGCATTACATTTAGTTGAGTACGCGGTTGTTCACTCTTGAGAAAAATTGTCACAACCTTTACCAACTTAATTTTTGCCATAACATATTTCTCTAATTCTTTAGGAATGGAACCATGGTTGTGACGAACAATGTTTCGAAAGGACGCTTTCCTTCAAGGTGTTTTCAGTTTTTGTCATGTAAACACTGTATAACATTTCTTGGACAGGGAAGAAAATAGGCCTGTTCGCACAGCAATCACAAACCAGTCAGAGCGAATTTCATTGGTTGAAAACAATCAGAAACAGTCAGAAAACTAGTTTCAACCAATGAGATTCAGTCTGACTGGTTTGTGATTTCTCTGCG